GTACCCTCCCCCAACTCTCTCTTCTTGGCTTCAGGCCTCATATGTCCTACTTTGTACTGGACACCTCCATGCCTGCCCACCTTCTCCGACCCCCAAACTGTATCTTATCCCATATTCCCTATCGGGAATGACCCCACCATCAATCCAGTCTTCCAACCCCAAACCTGGGGAGCCCTCCCAGGCTCTTCTCCCCTGGTCTATAGCAGTCCCCACGTGACACTGGACATGTTCTCCTGTCACTGTTTGACTACCCTAGTGTGTCACCTGCTGGTCCACACAGTCCATGAGGTTTAAGGGCTGTGTCTCCATTATTCACCCCCCTGTGTCCCCAGAGCCTAGGATAATGCTTGATAAGTATATGAATTAATGAAGAGGAGTCGTGGCCCAGAGACAAAATTAAAAATTCCTGCAGAAGCGGGGTGTCCCCATCATCTCTCTGAGCCGCCTCTCATGGTTGGGGCAACCATCACTTGTGGATTCAGCTGATGAGTGTTTAGTGGGACTGAATTTCTGGCAACGTTTCTAGCCCTTTACCCCTTCTGTGCAACCTACCAAAGGGAATAATATCAGGCGTTGGCAAACACACAGAGGGTTCCTCGCTTTTCTAGGACGGACCACGTCCCACTGCCTGTCCCGTTGCAGGGCTACTGAACACATGTCAGGGATTCTTGGAATCGAAGAATGTGGGCACCGGAACGTGGTGTAGAACTTTGGCATTAGAAAACAAGACTTCCAAGATTTTTTTTAAAGGATTGATTGATTGATTGATTGATTGGAGAGAGAGAGAGTGTGTGTGTGTAAGGAGCAGGGAGGGACAGAAGGCGAGGGAGAAAAACAACCCTGAGATCATGACCTGAGCCGAAATCGTGAGTCAGAGGCTTAACCAATGGATCCACCCAGGCGCCCCAAGACTTTCAAGATTTCAACAATGACAGAGGAACCAGGACCTCCACGTCATGAGGGATTCATGTGGCCTGAGGTGTGATCTGACCCGTGCACTGCCGGGTTGGGGTCTCTGAGGGTGACACGGCCCGGCCCTGAGCCCAGCTGCCCGCAAGCCTCACAGGCCAGAGGAACTTCTCAGTCTCTGGGCCTGTCCCTACGCAGTCACTTGGTGAAGTGAGAAAGAAAACTGTAGTGAAAGCTGGACAGTGGTTGGCTTGTGGTGTGCAGCAATGCCAAAGAAATGTGATTCTCAGTGAAAATGTGCTGTCTGGAGAAAGCCAAGAGCCCGTAGGAACATTGGGGTATCTACCAGCTTGATTTCTGAAACTCTCGGCTCTTCCCCCTTAAAATGTCAAGGGATTAGGATTCCTAGAAGTCGTCATGAAACTCTCCACCCAGTGGTAGAATCCCCTGCACACCTCTGCTGGCGGGGGACCCTTTGTACACCCCCAGGAAATGGGACTCGGGGGCATTATCACAGAGCCCCGACCTATAGGGCTGCCCTGGGCCTCATAGCGTCCTCTGGACTGATCTCCCACGGGAAGGGTGAGGAGACCCTTCAAGCGGGTCACTCTGAGGCTTCCATTTTGACAGGGGGTTACTTTGATAGGGCCCAGAAAATAAACCATGACAGTTAAATTTTTTTTTAACCAACTAGGGTTTAAAACAGACCAACCCCCGCCCCCTTACCCCTTCCTCCAAGCCTCACCTTCACAGTGGGGCTCTGAGGCAGTGTGGGGGTTTAGAGCTGGGGAGAGTTTAGGGATAGGGTGGGACTCAGAAGAGTCTGGGGTGTCCAGAAATGGGTGGGTGTTATGCGTTGAATTTTGTGACCTCCACAAGATAGGATGAGGTCCCAAACCCCAGTACCCGTGAACTTGACCGTAATTAGAAGCAGGTTCTTTGCAGGTGTGATTAAATTAAGACAAGGTCATTAGGGTGGGCCTAATTCAAGATGGCTGGTGTCCTTATGAAAAGAAGAAGATGCCATGTGAAGACAGAGACATACCAGGAACGCCATGTGAACATGGAGGCAGAGATCGGGTGATGCTTTACGAGCCAAGGAACCCCAAAGATCACCAGCAAACCCCCGGCAGCTGGGGAGAGGCTGGGACAGAGTCTCCCTCATGGCCGCAGAAGGAACAGCCCTATCAACACCTTGACTTTGGATTTTTAACCTCTAGAAATGTGCAAGAACAAGTTTCTGTTTTAATCCACCCAGTTGACGGTCCTGTGTAACAATCGCTTTGGCAAACTAGCACTGTGGGTAAGAGAGATGCTGCCCACAGTCTCTGGGTGGGGTGGGGGGGGCAGTGGTTCTCACACTTGAGCAAGCGACAGGGTTGCCCAGAGGGCTTGTTCAAACACAGAATGCTGGGCCCCTGCTGCAGAGGGGCTGGTGCAGCAGGGCTGGGTGGGCCCGAGAATATGCATTTCTTTCTTTCTTTCTTTCTTTCTTTCTTTCTTTCTTTCTTTCTTTCTTCTTTCTTTCTTTCTTTCTTTCTTTCGATTTATTTATTTATCTGAGAGAGAGAGAGTGTGTGTGCATGCGTACCTGTGTGAACTGGTGGGGGGGGGTAGAGGGAGAGGGAAAAGCAGACTCCCCACTGAGCGGGGAGCCTGACACGGGGCTCTATCCCAGGACTGAGATCATGACCGGAGTCGAAATTAAGTCACTCAACCGGCTGAGTCACCCAGGCGCCCCGAGAACGTGCATTTCTAGCAAGTCTCTAGGTGCTGCTTGTCCAGAGACCACACTTGGAGAACCGCTGCCCTAGGGGCTAGGACGTGGCCTGGGCATTGGAACCTTCTAGTCCCAGTAATAATGAGATGTATATTCCCGCTAAGATGAGTTGTGCCAGCCCACTTAGAAAACTTCAGTGACCTCAGTCCGTTTTCATTTTCAATCATTTCTTCAGTTTTAAAGGACTTACACATGTGTTGTTTCGTGGACCGCCCCCCACCCCAACAGCAACCCCATGTGACAGATATTACAGTCCCAATGGTTACAGAAGGGAAAATGAGGCTCAGGCATGAGTGTGAGTCCTCAGCAGGAGACTCTTCCCTCCTGGCTCCCTGAGCTCAGGATTCCACACTCGGAGTCCGGCCTTGGAGCATCCCTGGCGAGTGCAGCCCTCAGAACTCAGATGTCCCTCTTTATAAATCACACCCATCAGCACCACATCTGAAAAGCAAGCCAACCCCTATCCATCTGTGGCTGGTATTGCAAACCGAAGGTGCGTCTCCGCTCGGCTCCCTCTCCCATTGTGGTGGCTTCCGCCAGACCTCACAACCCTGGTCCTTTCTCCTGATCCCGTTTCATTCCCAAATGCCCTCTGGATGTGACTTCTCCTTCCTGCTTCCATGTGCTCCAACAAACCAACTGAGCCGCTTTGGAGCTGAGAAGCCTGGTGTGCAGGGTGGACGGGTTACGAGAAACGCTAGAGAGAATGAGAAGGGTTTGTAGTGTCCAGAGTCGGACCGGTCTGGGCAGCCCTGCGTGCCTGGCCCTTCTCCAAGGCGGAGGCCTTCTGGTTACCAGGTTGCTCTGGTCGCACCTCCTCACCCTGCTGGCTGGCCAGGCCCCCTCCTGCCAGCGCCATGCCCTTTGATAAGTACTGGTTCCTGCAAACAGGGTGGGAGTGTAAGCTCTGCACGCCAGCCAGGTGTGGACACCAACCGTGGGCATCTGGGATTTATTCAGCGTGGCTGATGCAGGGTGCAGAGGGGGACCACATCTTGAGTACATCTTGAATGCACAGGGCCCCAAGAGCAGAGTTCCCCATTCTTTGAGGCTTTGGTCCTCCTCCAAGCCTCACCTCAGCAGGCCAGAAGCACCTCCACTGAGCACTCGGCCCCCATGTCCCCAGAGTGACATCAGTGCTGGCACCTGTCTGGCCACAGGGGCCCACAGCCACGGACAGTAACTCAAAAGCTGAGTGTCCTCCCTGCTCAGAGTCCAGTGGAGCTGGACGCCGGGGCGGAACGGAGGAAAAGCGTGCCCAGAACTTTGACCCGAGCCCCTGGGGGCTTGTCATGCGAGGCGGGGTATCCCGCTGCATGAGAGGAATACTCCTCATCCACTAAGCCAGTGAGACCGGACTGAGCACCACGTCTCATTACAGGCTGAGCCCGCGCTGCCCTGTGGGGGACAGCGACAAGGGGGCTTGGCCACAGATGGCTCAGGGACTTCCAGCCCCGGGGCCACGGGACACCCCCTCAAGAAAGTAGAGCCTGAAGCTTGAGATGGAAGAATCAAGTGCCCAAAATGTCAGAAATTGCGAGGTGCACGATGCAGGTCATCAGGAGTGGAGGGTCACTGTGGGATAGGGCCGGGGTGACCCCACGGAGGACCCCTGCAGCTCAGGGCCGGAAACTGAAGGAAGCGGGGGGGGGGAGGGTTGACGTGCCACCGAGCAGGGAGGCGCGGGTCGCTTTTCCCGAACCGACAAAATCAAAATGTTCCGTAAGTGGCTTTAAACTCGGGAAGGTGAAATGAAAGTTTTGTCTTGATCGAATGTGAACACCACTTGCGTGGATACGCTCTTTCTGACAGGCACTAAACAGATGAGACGCATGAACCTGCTTTTCTGACTTTCCTCCCTTCCCCGGCCACTGTCCCCAGCTGCACAGGTGACACCACGCTTTCCCACTGCAGGAGGTGGGCTCTGCAGAAGTGAGCCCCCCGCCTCCCCACCCTCGCTCCCACTCCGGCCCCCACCTCCAGGTCTGGAACTGAGGTGCATCCCCAGTGTTGCTGACCTTTGCAGGAAAACCTTGGCGTTTTTGTAAATGTTAACTTTAAGCTTCTACAAACTTTGTCTTGGCGGGGGGGGGGTCCTATTGCCCTTTATAACATTTTGCCTGCCCAAACTTGAAACCTCGTTCTTTTGGTCTTTTCTGCATTTACTATGCAAATTCTCTTTTTCCAGCAAGAAACAGCACAAACCCTTCAGAGGCCCAGGAGCTCCCGTATTATTTATTGTGAAACATTAGAGGTACTTCAGCATGAAGCTAAGCAAGTTCAAGCTTTGGGGCCCCTCCACCATCCAAGACTCTGCACCTAACTCTGTATTATTCTCTTCTCTTCTTTTTCTTAAAGAACCCACCCCTCAAATGAATCTACGCTTCGGGCCTCCAGTCCTGGACCCCTCCCTGGAGATAGTCTTAAAGCCAACGACTCATCAGACCTCATTCTCTTCTAAGGGCGCTAAGGCTCCAGTCTGGTTGACACTTGGCGTTTCTGAGGAAGCCCTTCTCTGGGAGGAGGAGGGGGATGCGGACCCCCCTGAGTTTTAAGATGCCGAGGAGCCATTTCCCGTACCGTGTCGATGAGAAGTAGTCAATGATGGGGCCAATGCCACAGTTCACGTTCACGAGGGGCATGGTGAGCTGCAGGGACAGTCTGAAAGCCCTCGGCGCCGGGCCGGACGGCGGGCGGGGCGTCTCTCTCTGCATGAACTGGATGATGTTGAGGTGGTAGGAGCCGACGCTGACGACCACGGCCACCAGCAGCGCCGGGGTGAGCAGGCGGGCCCTCTGCTGACGTCCTTTCTGGCTCATCAGCGAGTGTCCCCAGGCTGTCCTGCACAGCTGCAAGGTGGTCTTCAGGTCACAAAATAGCGTGACCCCCACCGGCCCACAGAAGCTCAGAGCACAGGCCACCAGAACCACGAGGGGCAGCGGATTCCCTCGACGCTGTCATACCCCACGCAGCTCAGCCTGCCCGCCGCACGCTCGGTCACGCGGGTGAAGAGCAGGGGCGCCGTCTGCAGCAAGGCCAAGGCCTAAGAGCCACACAGACGAGCCGCGCACGGCCCGTGGGCCTTGCCGAGCTGCGGGCCCTGGAGGGGGCAGACCACAGCCAGGTATCGGTGCGCGCTCACGCACGTCGGGAGGTTGACACACCCTCCTCCCCGGGGTTGTTCACGGAGAGGAGGAATGCCATCACCCTGCAGAGTCTCTCACCGAAAGACCAGCTGGAGGCCAGCACGTAATAGGTGATCCTTCCAGGCAGGGCCAGGGTGAACAGGAAATCGGACACCGCTAGGTGGTCCAGGGAGACACCTGTTGATGACCTTCTTGCCCTTGTGACAGGCAAGGCATAGGGCGGGGCTGTTTCCCAGGGCACTGAAGACCAGAGGGCTGCACAGAACAGAGAGAGGGTTGCGCTCACTTCCTGGGGTGGGGCTGAGCAAGACAGGATCTGACATTGTGGAGGGGGCTGCTCGGCCTGGGAGCCCTGAGGTTGAAGTCCTTGGGGAGATAAAAACAAAAAAAACAACAAAAAACGTAATATTGCCTCTGTATCAATAATAATGTGCTGAAGCAACATACACATGAGAAACATCTCTCTCTCTCTTTTTTAAAAGATTTTATTTATTTATTTGACAGAGAGAGAGAGAGACAGCGAAATAGGGAACACAAGCAGGGGGAGGGGGAGAGGGAGAAGCAGGCTTCCCACGGAGCAGGGAGCCCGATGCGGGGCTCGATCCTAGGACCCCGGGATCATGACCTGAGCCAAAGACGGGTGCTTAATGACTGAGCCACCCAGACACCCCAAACGTCTCTCTTTTTAAGCAAACTTTTTGTTGAAGTGTAACACACTATTCCAGTTACTACTGCCGTGTAACAAATTATCCCTCCAAAATTTAGCAGCTGAAAACACACTTTATTATGTTCACAGTCAGGTTTTGGAACAGAACACAGTAGGAATGGCTTTTCTCTGCTCCTCGGTGTGGGGAGCCTCCGCTGGGAAGGGTCGGCAGCTGGGGGTTACTTGATGGCAGAGGCTAGGACCATCTTGGGGGGACTTCATTCAGATGAGTGGCAGTTGGTGCTGGCTTTTGGCTGGCACCTCAGCTAGGGGTGTCCACGAAAGTACCCGCACTTGGGCTCCTCCTGAGGCTTCCTCACAGCCTAGCTGCCTGAACGTAACTTGGTTTCTTACCCAGCAGCTCCAGGCTTGAAAGGAAAGTGTTACCTACCAGACACTAGGTAGAAGCTCTGTTATTTTCTGCATTCTGATGCTTTCACATGGTGGGGACTTGCTGACCCTACCGGACTGCCTCTTCCTGGGTCAGCCGAGTCCTTGCGCACACTTTTCAAATGCAAACTAATCAATTGAGGGTCCCACCCCAACCACCTCCTTTATGGGGCTCTCAGGCTCCGGGCCACTGTGCACCTGCCCACCTGCCCTAGTCACCCGCAGAGCCAGGTGCCAGGCGATACGGGGCAGCCCCTGTGTCCCAGAGCCACCTGAAATGATTCAAACTAGCCCGTCCTAAGTCTGCCCTCCCCTGTCTCACGTGTTTTTTTCCTTGTAAAAGCCACAGTAACAGTTCTTGCCCACCTTTCTGCCTCTCTCTTTCTCCCAACTGACCCTGCTACTTCCCCCCCACCCCACCCCGTGGCCCCTGGTGATGTGGCGTGCCCCCTCCACTCCGTATCTATGAGGAACAAGCTATGTTTATCAATGGCAGTCATCTCCCGATCTGTCAGCCTCACTGCACCTCAGTTTTTCTATCAATGCCTTGTACTTCAAAACACCTTTTCTGACCTGGCCTCATCCCCTCCACCACCTCCCATCCCTTACAAGTGAGTCACAAGCCCACCCAGAATCAAGAGAAGGGGACATAGCTCCAGCCTCTCGATAGGAGGACTATTAAAGAATTTGCACCATTTAAAAATCCCAACGCAGGGGGCGCCTGGGTGGCTCAGTCGTTGAGTGTCTGCCTTCGGCTCAGGTCATGATCCCGGGGTCCTGGGATCGAGCCCCGCATCGGGCTCCCTGCTCCGAGGGAAGCCTGCTTCTCCCTCTCCCACTCCCCCTGCTTGTGTTCCCTCTCTCACTGTGTCTCGGTCAAATAAATAAATAAAATCTTTTAAAAAAATAAAATTGAAAAAAAATAAAAATCCCCAATGCATACATGCAAAAGTGTGCACAAATCAATAAAATCGCTTGACGATTTTCACAAAGTGAACACATCCATGGCATCAGCACCCAGATTGGGAAACACAGCTCACCAGCGCCCCAGAAGCTCGCCTATGTGCCCTCCCACCTCGATCTCCACTCCAGGGTAACCACTGGCCTAACTTCTAAAAATCACGATTCAGTTGTGTCTGCTTCTGAACTTTTTTTTCTTTTTTGACAGAGGGAGAGAGAGACAGAGATAACACAAGCAGGGGGGAGGAGTAGAGGGAGAAGCAGGCTCCCCGCTGAGCAGGGAGTCCAACGTGGCGCTCGATCCCAGGACCCTGAGATCACGACCCGAGCCTAAGGCAGATGCTCAACCGACAGAGCCACCCAGGCGCCCCCTGCTTCTGAACTTTAAACCAGTGAAATCACACACTGTGTATATGTGTATTCTTACACGTACAGACTTTTGGGGTCAACGTTAGCCAGTGGGATTCACCCATATCGTTGGCTGTGGTTGTCGCCTGTTTGGTCTCGTAGCTGTAAGACATTCCCTTGTATGAATGCACCACCATCTGTTTATTCATCCACTGTTTTCAGTTTGGGGACATTATATAAAATTCCCCTCTGCCTGTTCTTTCATATGCCTTGGGGGAAACACATACATATCTTTTGCTGAGTATGTAGTTAGGAGTGTAGAGCTGGTGAGTCACAGGTCCTGTGCATGGTTAGGTTTTTTTTAAATTTTTTATTGTTATGTTAATCACCATATATTACATCATTTGTTTTTGATGTAGTGTTCCATGATTCATTGTTTGTGCATAACACCCAGTGCTCCACGCAGAATGTGCCCTCTTTAATACCCATCACCAGGCTAACCCATCCCCTTACCCTCCTCCCCTCTAGAACCCTCAGTTTGTTTTTCAGAGTCCATCATCTCTCATGGTTCATCTCCCCCTCTGACTTACTCCCCTTCATTCTTCCTCTCCTGCTATCTTCTTCTTTTTCTTTTTTCTTAAAATATGTTGCATTATTTGTTTCAGAAGTACAGATCTGTGATTCAACAGTCTTGCACAATTCACAGCGCTCACCGTAGCGCATACCCTCCCCAATGTCTATCACCCAGCCACCCCATCCCTCCCACCCCCGACCACTTGTGCGTGGTTAGTTTTAACAGGGCTTGGCATATGGTTTGCCAAAGTCGCTGCTCTTCGTACTCCCAGAAGTGTATGGGAGTTCCCGCCGCCCCGCATCCTCTCCAACACTTGCCCTTGGCAGTCTTTATCAGGCGAACCATTTTGGTGAGTATGGAGGAGTATCTTCTTGTGGTTTTAATTAGCATTTCCCTAACGACGACCTTCTCCATTGTTTACCGGCCATGTCCATATCTTCTTTACGAGGTGCCTATATGAGTATTTTGTCCCCTTTCCTATCGGATTGTCTGTCAAAAGTCTTAATGATTTCCTATTTCCAATTCATGTTCCCCAATCTGCTAACTGAGCCTTGCCTTTGTTGTGTGCACATCCATTCCTATCTGCAGTCTGATCATCCTTTAACTTCCAAATTTCCACACTGTGACTGTAAGGAGAAGAGCTGGGGCAGGTCTACCCAAAGCTCCCCGCACAGTGGTTGGGGCCCGAGGGACAGTGCCCACGGCGCACACATAAGCATGAAGCTTGCTGAGGGCGTGTAGTTTGCCCGAGGACCACGGTAGCTCATGGAACCAGGATCAGAGACCCGGGTGGAGAATACTGAGCATCTGTGGTCAGATGCAGTCTTGAAGGGCACTAGCTCCATGAGCCCCCAAATCTCACTTGAATCAGGACACAGCTGTCCCATCCTTTATCAACTTGGGGCTGACTGGCAGGGAGCCTGCTGTAGATTGCGCCTCATTTTAACCCAGGCGGGGAAAGCTCGGTCTAGTCCCCTGCACAGGGATGGAGAAGGGGCCTCCATTCAAATGGAAAGTAAGAGAAGTCAGGCTGAAAGGTAGAGAGGGGAGCACAGAGAAGCCCTTTGAACCTCGGAAGGCTGGCTGCCTGGATGGCAAGATGATAGATGATCAGACAGAGAAATGGATGATTTAGGCTCCCTAAAAAAAATGAATTAAAACATATTTCTCATTTTATCAAGAAATTCCCAAGTGCTATGTCAACTATTGGTTATATTCAGAAGATGCAAAAGAATCAAGCTTCTACTACTTGAACATTATGCTCTAGTTGAAAAGATAAGGCGTGCAGGAGAAAAACTGCTAAAAAAAAAAAAAAGAAGCCATTACCAGCGTTCTTTAGACTTTTCTTTCTACTGTGTGGATAAATCACTGGTACAATCATAAATGTCAAAACCCACACAATTCCCTTTCTGCTATTTCGTTCTGTGTTTTCTTTCTTTTTACAAATTAGACTGAGGGAAGGGAGCTGTTTTCCCAGCACCCCAAGCCTTAGGTGCATAAAAAGAGGTGTGCCACCTCTGCCAAGGTTTGGGTTTGAGGACAGAGCCTCACCCGTTCACACCTCTAGTCCCTGGGCTGCTTCCAGGGAAGAGAGGGGAACATGCAGGGACAACAAGTCTGAGGAACGGGCAGGAAGGGTCTCTGCAGCACGTGGCCCAGCTCAAGAGTTAAGGATGGACCCTGTGGAGAAAGAAGCAGCTCCCTTCACGCCTCCTGCTTCTCCTGGGACCCTGACCACAGTCCATCGGAAACCCTTGACTCAGATTCTCCGAACCCAGAGATTTAAATCCGCCTGGATCGGAGAAACGGCCCCCTAGATGGCCTCCTGCCTGCCCTTGGAAAGGCGGCCCGCACAGGCGCCTGCACCTGCGCATCTGCGCCTGCGCTCTGGGCAGGCAAACGCTGTGGCCCCAGGTGTTGCTGCCCTTTGCAGGAAGCACCTCCAAGGAGGAAACGGAGCACACACTCTCCAGGAGGCTTGCCGGCACCCACTCAACAGGGCCGGCTCTTCTTTCTTTTTTTCCTTCCATTTCTTCCCTGAACAATCCAGTCATCGGGCTGAGCGAGGCGGGGGCTATGGGGAGGGGACCGCCGTGTGCCCTGAGCGGGTGGAGGAGTCTGAGCAGGGCAAGGGGCGCCATCTCAAGGGGCCGGTTTAGCTCAGGAGGTCACAGGTCAGCTCACCATTTTCTAGCCGCAGAGCTGCTGTTGGATGCATCTGGAACATGCGTGTCCCTTTCCCAGTTGGTTTAGGACTTAGAGGGCACAGGGAAGGGACTGGGTCCTGCCGAGTCCCCCTCTCATGGCAGCTGTCCCCGCGTCCCAATATTCCTGATATGCCTCTTCCCCAGGGCACATCAACACAGGCCTGGGGGCTCACTCCGCACCTGCTGCCTCCCTCAGCTGAGGGTACCTATTTCTCTCCCCTTCGAGGCCCTGTAAGTGCCACATCCTCCCGGAAACCTCCCAGCCTCTGCAGAATTCACAAGCCCCTCCTCCCTCGGTGCTTCCAGAACATTCGATGGTACCCTTCTCACAGTGACTGACACTCCTCAGTTATACCTTTGCAACTCCAGGACCCGCAGGCCCCTGTGGGCCTCTGCTAGTCTTCTTATTTTGGTATTTGGCACAAAACAAGTGCTCTGGACACTGGGTCCTGCTGGAGCCCTGTGGTCTCCCTTCCCAGGGACACCCACAGAGAAGTAACATCCATGCCCCAGGGAGGGGAGGGCAGGTGCTGTCACTGCTGTGAATCTGAGGACATCAGACCCAAAATAGCCATCGAAAGAGGGGCACACTGTCAGGCCCTAACGCCTTGGATCTGCCTGCCTGCCCTCCCTTCCTGTCCCCTTGCTTACTGATTTTGATGCAAACCTCAGCATGAACTCCTTGGCCCCGCAAGTGGGGCCAGACCGGTGCAGACTCTGTGCTCCACAGTCTCTGGCCCACAACCGCCCAAAGGGTGTGCTCCTTGGCCCCTCTCTGGGCCCGTCATCCCCACTCATGGGTCCTCCCCCACAGGCACAAAGCATGCACCCCATTCCCCCCACACCCCATCTGCTCTTAGGAAATGACCTAACACTGGTCATTTGTACCTTAATATGAAGTTACTCATGCATTTCCTTCTCACGAGTGTATTTGCCTTTTGAGACTCACCAAGCAATGATTGTCAAGGGCAACGTGTGCCCCTGTTAAAGGATTATCAGTTAGTGCAACCATGTAGAGAAGAGCTATCAAAGGAGCTTCCAAAGGGTTACCCCCAGGTCTGACCCGGTGGAGGCAGCTCAGTCCTATCACTTGACTTGATGGTGACGCTGGCCTTCATTCTTTCTGGCCTGAGCTGCCCTTCTATTCAAACGAGAAATAACAGGGGTCTCACTGGTGAGCTGGGGTCGGGAGGGATGCTGGACGGGTCGGGCACAGAGCAGGAAGAGACAGCGAGGAGCAGCTACAGTCCGAGCCTTTCTCTCCAAGCCCAGCACCTTTCTGGTGCCCTGGGAACACTCACCTCTGATCAACTTACCTTGCTCGCCAAGGGCAATGCACAGGGTGCCCCACAGAGCCTTGTCCAGGGGCCCGCTGCCTTCCCAAGCAGCCCAGAGGTGCACTGTCCGCTCTGCAGAATTGAGTCGGACCACCCCACTAGACTCCATGCTCTACCTCCCCTCACCCAGCTCTGCTGAAAAAGAAGAAAGAAAGGAAAAAAACAAAACCCAAGGCTATCGGCCAAGGTGATCTCCCTGCACAGGACGTGCAAGCTCAGCCACAAGGCTCCCCGCTGGGCCTGTCCCCCACAGCTACTGAGAAGGGCGGGGGGCGGGGGGAGTCACTCTGGGAAGCCAGTTTCCTTTCTGTTCCATTTCCGTGCCCCACACAGGCTGGGGTTTAAGCCGTATATGTGACTGTCAGGAAATTCACAAACAGCCACCGTTCTCCCGCCTGACTGGGAACGATGAGCTGGGGAAAGCAAGAAGTGCTGTCTGGGGACCCCAACACTCTCAGCCCCCACCGAGGGGAGCCGTGGCCTTGTCGGGATTTCTTGGGTCTTGTCATCCGGGCCAGATGCCATAAGGGAGCCTGAGAGCCCAAAGTGCAGCCCTCGGAGGCAGTGCTCCCGAGGGCAGTAGCCGGTGGGGCAGGACGGGCCAGGATGTTCTCCAGCCGGGCAAGCCAGACGCCCCTTGCACCCCCTTTTTTTCCTCCCATTTCCAGAGAACAGTCTTCCTCACCACACAGCTGTCTAATAAAGGAGGCCTCAAACCTGTGGTGTGATTGCGACCGTGCCTCACTCCTAAGGTGGTCACCGTAGGGACATCAGGGCACGCATCGTGCTGAATGTCCTGGGAAGCCTGCCTGGGTCAGCAACCGGCTCTCCAGCCCAGCCCGACACATTCGCTCCCAGACCGCTGAGGCTCCCGCACGGCATCCCACGTGCCTCGGTTTCCCCCAGCCTATGGGAGGAGGAGGTTGCAGCTGGGGCTAGAGGTAGGGAGGTGGCCCAAGCGATAGTGTCATGCAGATGTGAAGGATGCAAAGAGTTGGCGTCACTATTCCTGGGGCTGGTGCTGGAAAATGTGGGTCAACACACTCCCCAACCTGACCTCTCACTGACAAAGGCCATGAGGCCCAAATTTTCCCATGTGTGGACTGGGCCCCAAAACACATCCCCAAATCTCCTGATCTATCAGAGAGAACTTACGTAAAGGAGCCCTATCTTACCAGAAACTTTTACCAGAAACTTCCTCCTACCACCCCAGAAGGAAGAGCTAATGCAATTTCCAGAGTGCCTGACTTAACACACAGATCACAAACCCTAGGAGCATCTTCCTCCATGTCCTCAAGACATTTAGGATTCTCCTATTAGAAGGACATAGAAAGCCCAAGAAGGGCAAGACAGTAGAGTTGGGAGTTTGAGCCCCATGTTGGGTATAGAGATTACTTTAAAAAAAAAAAAAAGAATCATAGGTAACATTTTGTCCAAATTCTACTTTTTTTAGCACTTTGTTAACTGTATTTTAATATGAGTTGTTTTTTGTCATCTTATGTATTTTATTTTATGCATTTAAAACCATTACTTGGAAAAGAGTCTTTAGGCTTCACCTGAGGGGTCCATGGCACAAGGAAAGATGGAGAACCCTCGATCTAGAGTAACACTTTTGTCTTCCAAATGGGGAAACTGAAGCACCAGATTCCCCTCCGCCAAAGTCTCCCAGCTTATGCATCAAGACTGGACCTGAGCTCTTTCTTTCTTTCTTTTTTTTTTTTAAGATTTTGTTTATTTATTTGACAGAGAGACACAGCAGGAGAGGGAACACAAGCAGGGGGAGTGGGAGAGGGAGAAGCAGGCTTCCCTCGGAGCAGGGAGCCCGATGCGGGGCTCGATCCCAGGACCCTGGGATCATGACCTGAGCCAAAGGCAGATGCTCAACGACTGAGGCACCCAGGCGCCCCGGACCTGACCTCTTGACTCCTGGTTTATCTTTGGGTCTCCCCTTACAACACAGAGCCCTTTATTCCCTACACCCCACTTCCTCTCAGCACCAAACACAGGAAATATTGTTCCCCAAAGGCTGGGATCTGGACCTAAATGTGGCTCCCTGACCTGCTGACTGTCCCGATTCCTTCTCCTGGTGGCTCGACGGGCCTCTTGCCCTGCAAACCATTTGCCACGTCCCACGTGGCCCTGAAGAGAGCACATGGCTTCTCTGTTCACTCAGGCCCAGAAAACCCATAGCAATAACAGTAACAATAATGGCATCCTTCTCTGAAGACCTACTCTCTGCCAGCCACTCTTAGCCATATATAATGCCTCGCTTTGTTCACAAAGAGGCATTATTATCCCCATTTCATAGTTGAGGAAAGCAGGCTCAGAGAAATTAAGTGATTTGTCCAAGGCCACACGGCCAATGGCATCAAAGACCCAGGTGTTTCTGGCAGGTTCCATCACAAGGAGGTGCAGCTGGGGTTGGAGGTAGGGAGGTGGCCAAGCAATAGGGTCACGCAGATGTGAAGGCTGCAAAGAGTTGGTGTTGCTATTCCTGGGGCTCGTGCCACCTCGGCTGGTGATGTCTGAGCTTGGGGACCATCCTGGGCATGATTACCCTTAAAGCAGCTTCTTGCGGCACTGATTGCTGAAACGGTCTGTGCCTGCCCAAGCAAAGCCAAGATGGCACCCCTATCTCATCTCTGTGGTTTGCACAGCTGTGCTCCAGGAGCATCTTCAGCCCCGGGCACAAGCAGAGAGGCGCGGTGTGGGTTAGCCCTGGGTACCGCCTCCACGGGAGGGGGGCGGTTGAGCTGTATCCCAGGTGAGGGGGCTGTTCCCTGTAACACCACTGCCTTTTTTCCTTTTTTTTTTTTAAACGGTCAGGAGGAAAAGGACTGGTACAGATGTATTTGCTGCCCCTTCTTTTTATCCATTTAATTATTGATCTCACTTCTGGACCTTTAAAAACATATTCATTCACTTATAGGGGTTCAGGGGTTCGAGAATGTGCCACTTTGGCATGAGGATTATTTTGAACTGAAGGCACTTGAGATCCTGCCATTCCAAGAGAAACTTTTGTCATCCCTTAACCACATGGAAGAACCTAAATTGGGTGTTTTATTTTTTCCAGAATAAGGGTTATTAGCAGAGATAAATTTTATCTGAGGGACCCATTGGTATGGCAGGGCAAACATCTAATGTTTGGTAAAACATCCGCTCTTCTTTTCACTCTGTGACAAGCATTCCTTTCCTCTGAAATCCCAGACCCCGACCCCCTTCTCCTTAGTTGAGAATAACATATAGACCTCATCTTTCCCGTCTTTAGCATTTCCATGTCTGCGTGGATTCCTCATACGTACACCTGTTAGGTTTGATTTGTACCTGTTAATCTTTCTCGTCTCAATTGGTTTCTTAGTCCAGCTAGAAGGACCTTTGAGGGGAGAGGAACTCTTGCTCCCCGACAACTCATCCGCAGGGACTGTCTACATGATGCTGAACTTCGAGAACTAGCTAGGGACCTTTCCTTCTGGGAAAGCAGACAGATAAGCAGGCAGGCAAGACACCTGGGGAGAGACAGATGCCACAGGGAATGAGTTCTGGGCACTAAGGGGAAGAGGTTCTTCCCAGTCCTGGGGAGTCAGGGAGTCAGGGAAGTTCCCCAGATATACCCATGAGGATGAGAAACAATTTGCCAGACATACCCCCCACCAAAGCAGAGGGGAAGAGAGCAGGGACTGATGCGCTTTGGGTCACTCCCACTCATAGTTCACCAGGCCACACCTCACTTCTAGAGGGGAGGGAGGTGGAGTCCTGCTGTGTGCTGGGGAGAAACCCCAGGAAGCCAAAGACAACCACACCGCTAACTGTGTCAGTCTCTCCAGCCACGACTCATGTGTCCGTCTGCCTCCCGGCCACCTCCTGGGTACATTGGGATCGGATTGCTCTGTTGAGCCCTTCAGGCCCGCTGCCCCTCCTGGATTTGTCCATCTCCACGGGCCCCACCCCCAAGCCCATCTTGCAAACCTCCCCCCCCTCCCCTCCATGAGCCATCCACCCCAAGTCTCCTCCAGGACAGGCTCAAGGCAGTCCCTGTAGCCTAGCCTCAGCTCGCCATGCCTCTCCAGGAAACCAGCCACAGCCTCTTGTTTCCTAGTCTTGGCTCTTGATCCTGACACTCAATCCACTCTACGGTCTCCGTCCCACTGTCAGACTGAATTGGCTAACATGCCCAGTGGCCCTACTTTTCGTATTTATTTGTTTGTTTGTTTGTTTGTTTGTTTGTTTTAAATACGCTCTATAACCAAACATGGGGCTTGAACTCACAACACTGAGATCAAGAGTCGCACGCCCTACCAACTGAGCCAGCCAGGCGTCCCCGCCCTACTTTGCTTTAGGACACAGTCCTAATTCCATGACCTGGCATTTGGGACTCTCTCTGCAGGAATGCACTTTCCCTCTCCTGGTAACTGTGCTTAACTCCTCCTGGCTCAAGACAGCTCCGGCACCATCTCTTCCAGGCCGTCTACTGTGACTGCCCTCACGCCCCCACCTAACATAGACACTCCTCTTGTGACGCCCCCTGGCACCCCCCATCCCTATGTTAGTGTACGCAGCAAATGTCTACCATCGGTCAGATTGTGAGCAGTTGAGGCAAGCGATGAGCTCTCCTGCATCTTGGTCCCTCTAGGGGCTGACACAGGGTCAGGCATAGAAAAGTTGCTTGGTAGGTGATTACGGTACACTGGAGCCTCAGTGAGGTACGGCTAATCCAATCCGTCTGCCGCAGCTCCTGCTGGCTCGTCTTCCCACCTCATCCAGAGCCTTCTTCCCACAGGGATTCCTTGAGCACCTACTTCGTGCCCTGAGCCAGCCACGGGGACGGGGATGCCGCATAGTCCAAGACACGTCCACACCCAGGGTGCGTTGGAGTGGAGTTGGTGACAGGTCGCTGAGAGCCGCGCAGTGCTGGGCATGGGGATGACAGCCAGGGATGAGCCACCCCTTCTGTCTTCCTTTGCCTCACAGGGTCACCTGACAAAGGACCTCGACGCAGGCTCCCCGTCCAATCCTCCCACATTCCAGATGTGGCAGAGAGACCCAGGGACGGGAC